TTCTTCCTCCTCCTCCTCTTCTTCCTCCTCCTCTTCTTCCTCCTCCTCCTCCTCTTCCTCCTCCTCTTCTTCCTCCTCCTCCTCCTCCTCTTTCTCCTCTTTCTCCTCCTCCTCTTGATGTTGTTGGTGATGATGAGACAGGGTCTTGTTATGTAGCCAGGGCTGGTCCTGAACTCACTCATGATCATCTATTTACCTCCTGAGCACTGGGATCACAGGTGTACCCACCACACCTAGCTTCAGCTCTCCTTTTTGCAGAAGGCCTTGCTTGGCACTGCTAGGGTATGCAGGAATTCATTATAAGGAACGAGCAATGTTTCCTGCTAGTGCTTCCAAGGCCCTGCTGATGCGTAACCCCAGGTCCCAAGGCAGCATGCTCCAGCTTCCCCAACATTACTGCCCATCTCCCTCTGACCTTCCTCCTGTCCCCAGTCCCTCCTTGACCTGTCACCACCCATTGTCTTTTCCAGATGGACCTGACATTTGTTGGTGTTGTGGGCATGTTGGATCCACCCCGGAAGGAGGTCACAGGCTCTATCCAGCTGTGCCGTGATGCTGGGATCCGAGTGATCATGATCACTGGGGACAACAAGGGTACAGCCATTGCTATCTGCCGACGAATTGGCATCTTTTCCGAGAACGAGGAGGTGACAGATCGTGCCTACACTGGCCGTGAGTTTGATGATCTGCCCCTGGCTGAGCAGCGGGAAGCCTGCAGACGCGCCTGCTGCTTCGCTCGTGTGGAGCCCTCACACAAGTCCAAGATTGTGGAGTACCTGCAGTCCTATGATGAAATCACAGCCATGGTGAGATGCTCCAGAGGGCTGCCTGGGTCAAGGCTCTGAGTGTCCCTACGCATGCCCAGAGGCCCCAGTGTCATGCAGAGGAGAGGGATTCAGTTTCTACATGGGGTCTAGAGAGGGAGAACATAAGATGTCAGGAATTTTGAGTTTCTCGCTTTCTCTTTCCGCCTTCAGACAGGGGATGGTGTCAATGATGCCCCTGCCCTGAAGAAGGCGGAGATTGGCATTGCCATGGGATCTGGTACTGCTGTGGCTAAGACAGCCTCTGAGATGGTACTGGCTGACGATAACTTCTCCACTATCGTGGCTGCTGTGGAGGAGGGCCGCGCCATCTACAACAACATGAAGCAGTTTATCCGCTACCTCATTTCCTCCAACGTGGGCGAGGTGGTCTGGTGAGCAGCCAGGGTGGGCATCCAGAAACAAACAGGGCTGAAGGGGGTGATCATGTGTGAACAGGGTTAGTGTGTGACCTCCTTCCTCCTTCCTGGCAGTATCTTCCTGACAGCCGCCTTGGGGCTGCCTGAGGCCCTGATCCCTGTGCAGCTGCTGTGGGTGAACTTGGTGACTGATGGGCTCCCTGCTACGGCTCTGGGATTCAACCCACCGGACCTGGACATCATGGACCGTCCCCCCAGGAGTCCCAAGGAGCCTCTCATCAGTGGCTGGCTCTTTTTCCGCTACATGGCAATTGGGGGTGAGCACGAAGGGTTCTCAACAACCCTTCCGAGCCCTTGGGCCTGACCTTGTCCCCATCCCAGTTTCTCCCAAGTCCAGCCGCCCAAAGGCAGCTTCACCAGCTGTCTCCAGCTGTGTAAGGTCCTCCTGATACCTCTTATCTCCTCAGCCCTGACCCCAGTTCCTCTCTTCTCCCCACCACAGGCTATGTGGGTGCAGCCACTGTGGGAGCAGCTGCCTGGTGGTTCTTGTATGCAGAGGATGGGCCTCATGTCAGCTACCACCAGCTGGTAGGAAGACGGAGCGGTGGGCACTGGGAGGCACCTGGCAGGCTTTTGTGGATCTCAGACTTCTGCCTCTTCCTTTGCAGACTCACTTTATGCAGTGCACCGAGCACAACCCTGAGTTTGATGGCCTAGACTGTGAGGTCTTTGAGGCCCCTGAGCCCATGACCATGGCTTTGTCTGTGTTGGTGACCATTGAGATGTGCAATGCTCTCAACAGGTAGGTCCTGTCCACTTGGGTGGGCCCTGATGTTGTCTACTTGAGGCTGTTCTGTAGGGGACAGTGTAAGCCATGCCTGCTAGAAGCTGGCTACAGGTGTGCCTGACCACGCCTGTCAGGGCGTGGTCAAGGTGAGGTCAGGATGACTCGTGATAGAGTTTTAAGGGGCAGCAAGGCACATGGGAGCCTTCTCCCTGCCTTGCTGCCCCTGGCACACTCTGGCTTGCGTTTGGCTGGTGTTTTTCTAATAAAGGATATCTTAATCTCACAGGTTACAAAGCTCCTTCATTCATTACTGTTCCCTTGTCCTCCACCTCTTTTCCCACCCCTCTGCCTCACATCTTTCTGTGTGTCCCTCTCCCTCCATCTGCCCGGCCTTGGCCACAGCCTGTCTGAGAACCAGTCCCTGCTGCGGATGCCGCCCTGGGTGAACATCTGGCTGCTGGGTTCCATCTGCCTGTCCATGTCCCTCCACTTCCTCATCCTCTATGTTGACCCCCTGCCGGTGAGCCGCCTTCTGCTTCCACTCCTCCCCCACCCAGGGACCCATGCAGACCCTGTGGCCATAGGGTGCTCACAGAGGAGGGTGGCTCGTAGCACCCTGGTCCTTTTCTTCCTGAGAAAACACTTTGTCTTTTGCTGATGGCTGCTGTCTCCACCCCAGATGATCTTCAAGCTACGGGCCCTGGACTTTACCCAATGGCTCATGGTCCTCAAGATCTCACTTCCAGTCATTGGGCTAGATGAGCTTCTCAAGTTCATTGCTCGGAACTATCTGGAGGGTAAGAGACACCCCCCTTCCCTAGCACCCAGTCCTGAGCACAGCCCCTGCCCTCTGCGCTGCGAATACGCGCCACACCTCACTCCCCTCTTCCTTTGCAGGTGGGTAAGTTTTATTTTTTGGCCCTGGCAGGACCAGTGTCCCCAGGGAGGGCAGTCCAAACCCTATCTCCACTCCAGCCATGACTGGTGGAGTTTCCCCCCCAACCTGCTCAGCCCTATGGCCCCGTGGGCCTCCTCCCCCCTTGATAACGGCCTCTCTCTGTCCTCTCTGGCCATAGGGTAACCGTCCCCCTCCTCCATGTCTTTGAACGTGTCACAGGTATTTCCCTACACACCTTGCCCCAGCTGCTGTACCCTGCCGCTCGCCCACCAGCCCATGCGCACCCCTGCGGTCACTCGCGCTCGCAGCTCTCCCTGGAGCCACTGCTGCTGTTGCCATTGCCCGCTTCCACACGAGGGCCATGCCCTTCCAGTGGGCACTGGCAACTGTGAGGCTGTGCCCTGGCCTCAGTCTGCTGGGCTGCGCTGCGTCGCGCTGGCTGTCGCTGCTGCTGGGGCTGTGGTGGCTGGGGGCGGGCTGGGGTGTGGCACAGCACAGGTGAGTAGGGAAGGGGGGTCATAGGCCCCTCCAGGTGAGTATATGGAGATGCACAAGGAGATGTGGTTCTCCCTCCTGTGCCTACCTGCTCCATCCCCTTCCTTTCTTCTTCCAGATCCAGAAGATGAGAGAAGGAAGTAACCAGCCCTTTCGCCCTGTCTTCCCCACCCTAATAGCAACGCATCTTCAGCCAGAGCTGACAAAGACCCTTCTCCCCCAATTCTGTTTATAAACAAAGTTCCCTACCCCACTGTCCCCCTTCAGCAACCTGCCCTCCCTCTGAACCTTGTAAATCCCCTTCCCAACCTCACGGGGCTTGCAGGGACGAGGTGACTGATTGAGATGAGCTGCTTATTTATTGAAAATAAATGACAGAAAAGTCCGGCCTTGCTTCTATATATCTTGAGGCCTATGTCTGGTGCCTGTGGACAAATACTTTAGTGTCATACAGTCCAGAAAGCAGCCGCATGTCCCAGGGCCTATGTGTGAGGCATCCACTGACACCAACAGCTTCTAGCCACAAGCTGGATGCGCCTTGGAGCCGGACTCGCTGTTAGCTAGAGCTGGCAGGGTGGGAGGACAGGATCCACGGGGCAGCATGGCAGCCTGAAAGCTACAGGGCTCGGCCTGTCCTGTACTTTGGTTTTGGAAGGTGGCTGGGACCCTCATCCAGGTATCATCCCTGAGAGCAGGCCCAGCCATCCTTGGTGGAAGTAATGGCTTGGTGACACTACTGTCCAGGCTTGGAGTGGGTGGGCTCCATTCTGAGACCTGCAGTCCGTGTCTCACAGTTCTGGTAGAGAAAGGGGAAGCTTCCCCAGAAGGGAAGCTTCTTGTCTGGCCCCTCAGGAGTCCTTGATGTCCTTGATGTCCCTGAGGGGTGCCTCATCCAGGATGCTACGCACTTGCTCCAGAGTCTCTGCTTGGCGAATCCGCTCCAGGCGTACCTGTGTGGTTGGGTGGGAGACATGGAAAGCCGTGCCGAGGAAACAGCCCCTGCCTGACCAGCCAGGGTCAAGGGAAGGAAGAGGTCCAGGAGCTTGGCTTGAGGAGGTCTGGGTGTTGCTGGCCATTGGTGGGGCTGACAGCATGAAGCTGTCATGCAGCTGAGGTGTGTAAGAGAGCTTCATGTTTCTGGGCTCGGGGACAGACCAAGCAAGGCCTAGAAAATGGACCTCTCCTAATTGGAGACTGCCCTTGTGAGATCCAGGACAAGTCACCCAGAGCCATACCAACTAGGTAGGAATGGCCAGGTCATACCTGTAGGGCCTGGGACAGCCGTACAAAGTCCCTCTGCACCTGTTCACTGGTCTCCAGCTCAGCCTGCAGTCGCAGTGCTTTGGCCCTCTGTTCAGAGAGGAGGTCTGTGAGCTGGGCCTGCAGGGACAAGATGCAGAGCTAGGGCCTGACTCATCTTTGGCTAGGGAGAGGGTAGATGGCCAGAGCCACGGGATGAGCCACACTGGTGTCCCTTCAATACCACCAGACTCTAGCCTCCTCTGGCTCAAGCCAGGTGGCTGATGCAGGGTTTCCTGCTACCTGGTCTGAGGGAGACAGGAAGGGTGTGAGGGGGCAAAACCACACTGCTGTATTACCCTAGTCATGTTCCCAGGTGCCACTCACCTTGCGTTGCTCTTGCTGGACCCGCTCTGTCTCTATCCTCAGACTGCACAGGGAGGCTGGGAAGTCAAGGAGCAAGGAGACTGGAAGTCAGCTCCACATGATCCCAGCCCTACTGGTATAGCCTCCACAAGGTTCTGACCCCTACTCACCCTCTAGCACATCTGTGGGGAAGAAAGAGAGTGAGAGAGAGGTCAAGGCTGGATCTCCACTGCACCTCACCTCCTCATGCCCAAGCCTGACCCAGGGGACCCTGTGGTGGCTTCTTATTTTTCCCCTACCTGTCTCTTCTCGTTGCACCCTCAGCTGTCCCTCCAGGCTGGCCCTGGCTGCTGTCTCCTCCTCGAGTGCCTCCCGCAGCTTCACGATTTCAATGCGCAGGCGCTCAGCCTCATGCTCCTGTGTCTGTTGCCTGGCCCTCACCTGCTGCCGGGTGTGCCGCACCAGCAAATGTAGCTCCTGCATGAGACACAAGGGCTCGGCTCGGCTGGGCACAGGGCAGAAGAGGAGGGCAGGAACCCCTGGCCAGAGGGAGAGTGTGAAAAGAGGAAAGGGTGGGAGGAGGGAGTTAGATCAGAAAAGCAGCCAAACGCCACAGTCAGAGTGGTAAGCAAGTGGCAGATTTACAGTGAGATGAAGAAATGGGAGACTATGACTGCCACATGGTATGGAGGACTTTCAAGGTCAGCGTGGAAAGTTCCAGAATACCTATAAGCTTCCGAACAACTCAAGTTCTCCATTATATATGGAATGAAAACTACAGTAAAAAGAGAGCAGGGGTGGGAGTGGGCTGCAGATGTGGCTCAGTCGACAGGGTGCTTACTAACCTAGCAGGCATAACCCCCAGATTTGATCTCCAGCACTATGTAAAAAACTGAGGACAGTGCCAGAGTGGTGGTGCACCCCTCTAATCCCAGCACTTGGGATCTCTATGAGTTCAAGGCCAGCCTGGTCTATGTAGTGAGTTCCAGGCCAGCCAGGGCTACACAGAGAAACTGTCTTGAAAAACAAAAAAACAAACAAAAAAATTAAACCAAACCAACCAACCCACCAACCAACCAAAAACCTGAGAAGAGATGGTAGTGTGGAACTATAATCTCAGCAGGATCAGAAGTTCAAGGCCAGCCTAGACTATAGGAGACCATCTCAACTAAACAACACACACACACACACACACACACACCAATATGAAATTGAAAAATCAAAGACTATAGGGTCACATTGAAGTGGACATTAGTGACAATCCTCAGGGTAGAAGAACAACCAGGTGACCTAATAGTTCATGAAATATAAATTTTTTATAAATTAAAATTGACACAGACTGTTATGGAGACAGGTCCAAAAATTCTGAAGAATTCAATCTTAAGGACCCCATGTCACTTAAAAATAGCAAACAGCACCTGGTGTCAGGTGGGGCCTGGAATTTCACACTCAGGAGTCCAACCTGTCTCAAAGAGAGACCCTGTCTCAAAAAGAAAAAAAAAAAAATGACAGGCAGTGGTGGAACAGGCCTTTAATCTCAGTAATCTGAGTAATCTCTGCGAATTCAAGGCCAGCCTGGTCTACAAAGTGAGTTCCAGGATAGGCTCCAAAGCTACAGAGAAACCCCATCTCAAAAACCCAAACCAAACCAAACAAAAAAACCAAGGGCTCAACGTATGGTTCAGTGGCACAGTGCTTGTCCAGCCTGCACAGGACTGTGGTTAACCCCCTGCAGTGAGGACAGTGTGAGCAGCATGGGGTGTAGTAAAAATGGTAATGTAATCACCGTTCCCTTCACTTGTGGCCAGCACTTTCTAATTCTTTCTTTTCGTGCCAACCCTGGGAAGATGGCATGGTTTCATTTATCAGATGAAGAAAGTAACTCTTAGACACAGCTAATACGTAAGAGCCAGGGTCTGTCCTCAGGCCTCCTTGGAGAGGAGACAGCCACAGGTTGAAACCAGGCACTCTGGTGCCATTTACCTGTATGGAGCAGGGCAGGGCCTCACCCTCATTCTCCCACTGCTCCGGGCCCTGGAGGGTGGAGGATGGCAGCTGCTCAGCCCGGAGCCCTTGATTTTCTTCATTTAGTCTTTTAACCTCGTTGTGCAGGCATTTGTGAGAAGTGGCCAGTTCTGCCTGGAGAACATACCAAAGTACAAGGCAATTAGAGTGACCAGTATCTCTAGTCCCTGAGGCTAAACCCTAGCCCCACTGCTAGACTGATATCTAGAAAGCTCTGACCTTTCCGGACAGTGGTGGCACATTCCTTTAGTCCCAGCCCTGGGAAGGCAGAGGCAGGTGGATCTCTGTGAGTTCGAGGACAGCCTGGTCTACAGGGTGAGTTCTAGGCCAGGCTCCCAAGCAATAATGAGAAAAAAAAAACAAAAAAACAAAAAACAAAACCAAAAAAGAAAGCCCTGGCCTCATGATCTGCTGAGAAGAAACTTGTTTTTGTTTTGTTTGTTTGTTTTTCAAGACAGGGTTTCTCTGTGTAGCTCTGGCTGTCCTGTAACTCACTGCCTGCCTCTACCTCCCAAGCGGTGAGATTAAAGGCAAATGCATCACCAGCTGGCCCAAGAAGAAACCCCTTATTGCCCTCCCTGGCTCTAATCTCTTCAGATTCGGTTCCTGCTGATACACTGGCAGCCACAATCCACTGTGGATATTTCATTTAGATGGTATCTTTTTAAAAAGGATTTATTTATTTATTATGTATACAGTGTTGTATCTGCATGGATGCCTGCATGCCAGGAGAGGGCGCCGGATCTCTTTATAAATGGTTGTGAGCCACGATGTGGTTGCTGGGAATTAACCGAAGGTCCTCTGGAAGAGCAGCCAGTGCTCTTAACCTCTGAGCCATCTCTCCAGCCCAGATGGCTTTTTGAGACAGGGGTTCTCTGTGTAGCTTTGGAGCCTATCCTGGCACTCACTCTGGAGACCAGACTGGCCTCAAACTCACAGAGATCTGGCTGCCTTTGCCTCCCGAGTGCTGGGATTAAAGGTGTGCATCACCAATGCCCGGCTACACCAATGAACTGTAGTTACAGATGAGCTGCCACAGGGGTGCTGAGAACTGAACCTGGGTCCTGTGAAAGGAGCAGCCAATGCTTTTAGCCACTAAGCCATCTTTCCAGCTGCCCTATCCCCCAGTCTCACTATGTGGTCAAGGTTGGTCTAACTGGTTGGTGGTCCTTTCATCTAAGCTTTCTGAGTGCTAGGACAGGTATGTGCTACATCCGGCTGCAACACAGTTTTTTGTTGTTGTTGTTGTTGTTTTAAAGCCCAGTTTGGCCTCAAACTCGCTGGTAGTCAAGGATAATTTTAAACTTCTTTTAAAATTAAAAAAAAAAAAAATTATGAGCATGAATGTTTGCCTTCATGTTCATGTGCACCATGTGTGTCCTGATGCCTGAGGAGGCCACAAGAGGGCGTTGGATACCCTGGAACTGGAGTTACAGATAAATGTGAGCACCATGAAGGTACTGGGAACTGGACCCAGGTCTTCTGGAAAACAAGCAAACGTTCTTAACCACTGAGCTTTGCTCCAGGCCCTTTTGCCCCCACCTGGTCAGTTTACACGGTACTGGGGATTGAACCCAGGGCTCTATGCATGCCAAACAAGCACAGTTCTACAATGTGTTTTTAAAATTTATTTTCATTACATCATGTGACACGCACACACCGTGTGTGTGTGTGTGTGTGTGTGTGTGTGTGTGTGTGTGTGTGTGTGTGTGTGTAGTTTGCACACACCACAGCTGTCTCAAACTTCTGGGTGAA